CCCTTGATCCCAAGTCCTTACCACTTGGCAACCACTAGATGGTTTTCAACTCAGATTTTTAATTTGCTAGGAAGTGCAAGTGGCAACAGTATCCAACGCCAAGTGTTGAAACTGCCACGTATGGAAAACGTGGCAGCATATGAGAAACCATATAAAAAACAAAACAAACGTAAAGTTTCAATGCATGTCGACATTTTCCATCTCTTGGTAATGCCTCTATGTCAGCATTCACAAACTTTTTTCTTGTTGAAAGTGTTATCATTGTAAGCATAGAAAGATGGGGGATTGCAGTAGTGTTTATCGTGTCATATATGATAAAACAAGACCCGCTTGATCTTCTTTACGTTGCATAAGAAAAGGAAAAAAGTTTCCAATAGTGTAATGGTGTTCTCAAAGCCTCACAACTTGTGTCGATAGTTTGTGTTTCTCTGGATCTGAAATGGTATATTCTGTTCAGTGGAGTCGTACTATTCTATATAGGATGTCAAAATCTAATGGGAGCTTAGTGGGATTGTAACAGGATTGAACGGATCCTAATAGGATTGCATGATCTCATTTTTTAATCATTCTTCATGTTTGTATTAATCCTACCAACCCTGCAGCTTATTATCTATCTTCCTCATCATGGCCAGTGGGCAGAAACCAAAAGGGCTCAACAAGTCATGTTTTCTCCTCATAGGTTGTTATATTTTTATCTTCTTGATGAGTTCTTAGATTTTCCCTGATGAATAACTGATCAGTTTTATGCTAGAACATGAACAATCTGCTAGAAAGGATGTTAGTTGATTTGAATTCATTATGTTTTTTCCGTTTTGACAGTGATAGCTGGTATGGAAAGGTTTGCATTCAAAGGGGTGGCATCAAATTTGGTAACTTATCTTACAGATGTGGTTAAGATGAGCAACTCTGCTGCAGCCAAGACTGTTAATAATTGGTGTGGATTCACATCCATGCTACCACTTCTAGTTGCATCGCTTGCTGATTCATGGGATCGGTATTCCACCATTCTAACCTCTTCCTTTATTTATGTTGTGGTTAGTATTTTCTTTTTGTTTAATTTCTGCTTCTGAAATTCTGTGAGCTTACAGCAATTGGAAAATATTTTGGTGATCACAAGTCATACATAAATTCTTGATTATGATTATGCTTACAGCAACTTGCCTCTGTAATTGTAGAGACAGTTTTTGGTTTATGATTTTCCATGGTAAATTTGCTTTTGTTCTTCTTAATTTGTTCTTTCAAGGGACTTGTGGCATTGACATCAACAGCATTGTCTTGGGCAAGGCATCCCACCAACAAAATAAGCTCCTCATACCTGTTTTGGTCGCTCTGTTTGATTTCTCTAGGACAAGGTGGATATAACCCATCTTTACAAGCCTTTGGAGCAGATCAAATTGCGAACGATGATGAGCTGCCGAGCACAAAAGATGAGCAGAAATCAAATAAGAAGAGTTTGTTCTTCCAATGGTGGTATTTTGGGGTTTGCGGTGGCAGCCTCGCAGGTGTCACATTCATGTCCTATATCCAAGACACATTTGGCTGGGTACTCGGATTTGCAATTCCTACAATCGCAATGGGAGCATCAATTTTACTGTTTTGGTGTGGAAGCAGAATTTATGCATACAAACAGGATGACGCCATCTCTGAGAGGCCTTCGCGGGACATAGTTCGATCCATTAAGGAAGCTCTGTCGAAATTGATGAATAGCAGAATCACCTTACCAAACAGCAATCCTGGAGTCGTTGAGCTAGAGTAAGATTTCGTATTGTCAGTCTAAGTATTTTTGCTTTGAAATCTCCTCGAGTATTTATGTTAATGCTACTCTTTTGCTTGTTTATAGGCTTCAAGAAAAACCTCTTTGTCAGAATTCGGGCAATGCCAAGGGATTGAAGGAGGAACCCTGCAGTGGTATTAACTACCTAGTAGAAAATGGAAAAGTAGTATTAAGGCTTTTGCCGATATGGACGATGCTGCTAATGTTTGCAGTCATCTTTCAGCAGCCTGCCACATTCTTCACCAAACAGGGAATGACAATGAAGAGGAATGTAGGCAGCAGCTTCAAGATCCCACCAGCTACACTACAAAGTGCTATTACAGTTTCTATAATCCTCCTGATGCCATTTTATGATGCGTTGCTGATCCCATTTACTCGACTGATTACTCGCAACAAAAAGGGTATCAGTGTGACTCAAAGAATGGGTATCGGGATGGTACTGTCCATAATAGCCATGGTCATTGCTGCATTGGTTGAAACAAAAAGACTCGAAATCAGTAGAAAAATGGACGTTCTTGATCCAAAATTGGAAACAGAAGTTCCATTAAGCATATTTTGGTTGCTGCCTCAGTACATTCTGCTTGGCATCTCTGACATCTTCACTGTTGTTGGGATGCAGGAGTTTTTCTATAGTGAAGTTCCTGTAAGAATGAGAACAATGGGAATTGCACTATATACTAGTGTATTTGGAGTGGGAAGCTTCTTGAGTGCCCTGTTGATTTCGCTAGTAGAATATTTCACAAGCTCAAGAGGCAAAGGGCGGAGCTGGTTCTCTGATGACATGAGAGAAGCCCGTTTCGACAAATACTATTGGCTTCTAGCCTCGTTAAGTGTACTCAGCTTAGTGTTTTATGTTATTTTCTGCAAATGTTTTGTAAGCAGAAGCAGCGATATGGATAATGAGAACTAGGCAAGGGGCAGAGCTGGTTCTCTGATGACATGATTGAAGCCCGTTTCGACAAATCTTATTGGCTTCTAGCCTTGTTACGTGTATAATAAGCTTAGAGCCTGTTTGGTTTTACAAAAATAATTTTTAATAATTAAAAATAAAATATTATTTTAATATAATTTCAAATAAAAAATATTTCTATCATCATATTCTCAAATATCCCATTAATGTTTTATGTAATTTTTTATAAGCAGGAACAGTGATTTGGATGATGAGAAATTGTAAGAGTAGAGGAAGGCTTGACTTGTAAACAAGTTGTTTTGGTACAACTTCTTCAGCTTCAATAATTGTTCTTTGAAACAAGAACAAGTTAATGAAATTTCGAAGAAAATAAATTAATTGAACCCTAAACAAATAAAAAGGGTGTTCCAGCATTTCTTCTTCTTCTTCTTCCTTGTTCATCTTCTACTTCCTCCCATCATTTTCCTTTTGAAACTTTAATTATCTCTCCAGCTTCATATGAATAATATGAATAATGAAGCTTCTCTTCTCAATTCCCTTTTTTTTTTAAAATATTTTTTATTTTAAGTTCATCCTTATATTTATTTTTTAACTGTAATCCTATTTATTTTTTTAATTAAATAAGTTAATTGAACTATATTTAAATAATTCTTATATAATTTAATTTTAAATCCTTGATAAGTAAGGAAATGGGTTAAAAATGTTTTTTTCTATTATTTTTTTATTTTTTTTTAATTTATTTTATTAAACAAAAATGTTACTTTCAAATCTTGCCATATAAATTATGTTTCTATTTGGGATTGTGGCAGCGTTTTTTCGTTTAAAAAAATAAATAGTATTTTTTTATTTTTTTAAAATTAATATATCAAATGATTTAAAAATAAAAAAAATTAATTAAATTTTTTTTTAAAAATGATTTGTACGAGCTCAATAAGGTATTGTACTGTTTGAATTAGCAGTCTAATTGATAGCATCAACGGCAACAAATCTTTCCCAGATTGCAGTTTTCAGCCATGGTGCCTGTGGCAGCGGTGACCGTTGGGCTTAGGCCCAATATTTATGAACCACAAGGCCCATTTTAGACTGCAGCTCTATGTCCTATGGGCATTCTCGGCCAGCAGGAACTAGGAAGCCGTAGGAAGAAACAATACAGCCCAGCCTTAACACAAATTCGATATTTTATCAAGAATAAACCTTCGATGGTTATTGACCATTAAGTGTATTTATTTATTATAGTATTTTTATTATTATTATTTTTGATGGGTGGTATCTTCCCCGTCAACTTTCGTTTTAATAGTTATTGACCAATTAAACATGAATGATAAATTATTCTAAAAAGGCTTTGAATAACAAAAGTTTTAAATTCAAAATAATTTTGTGGATTTGAAAATTATCTTATGGGTTTATTAATTTAGTTTTGAGTTTGGTTAATAAAAAATATTTTATATTAATATCCCTGATTAATAATTATCTCTATTCAGCTTCATATGAATAATGAAGCTTCTCTTTTCAATTTTTTTTTTAAAATTATTTCAAAGAGGTGTTTTTTATTTTAATTTTATTATTATATTTATTTTTAACAATCATATTTTTTATTTTTTAATTAGACAAGTTAATTAGATTATATTCAAGTAATTTTCATTCGATTTAATTTTAAATTCATGATAAGTAAGGAAGCGAGTTATAAAGGTTTTTTCAAATCAATTTTTTCAAAAAAATTTCTTAGTTTTGTTTTAATAAATGAACAGGTTACTTTTAGATCTAGCCACGAAGATTGTAGGCCTATTTAGGATTGTGATAATAGTTGCGGTTTAAAATATTTTTTATTTAAAAATACATCAAAATAATATTTTTTTTATAAAATAGGCTCACCATATTGAACTGTTTGAATTAGTGATTAAATTGATAGCATCCAAGATTGCAATTTTCAAGCATGGTGCCTCTGATAGTGGTGACCATTAATACGAGATTAGCCAAGGTTGTTAAAAATATATTTTCAAAAAGATATGAAAAATGCAAAATAAACTCGGATCGTAAAATCATAAAATCATAAAAAGTTTTAAAATACATTAAAAAACTCATGCTTCAAATAAAAATTCAGATATAATTTAAGTAACTTTTTATTAACTAATAATTAACAAATTTTAAATAAATAATCTACTGTTGTGTCATATAAACTAAAACTAGATTTATTAACTTCATCTTCCTTATTATTCCTCATGAAATGCATCTACTTTTTTTCTTTTTGGATCATGTCTTTTTAAATGTCAAATAAACCAAAAATATAACAAGAAGTAAACCTTCTAAAAAATAGAACTAAGCATGCAGTTAGATTATCATATAAACTGAATGAATTTCCAATACAATAAATTCGAGGACTAAAACAAATAACATAGTTGTTTACTTTTGATTGATATCATGCAGAAAATCCAAACTCAATTAAGTCTTAATCCCTAACAAACTAATTAAAAAAAAAAGACAAATTTAATGTAACCAAGTAAGTAAAGATACAAACTTTAAATTAGAATCTCAATCTTTAACATTATTAGAGTAATATGTAAACCCACTTCAAATGAACTTAATTAAGATCAACAAAATTATCTAAACAATAGTCATACAAAGATTTAAGCACCAAATGAGACAACTTTAAATCACAAATAAGAAAACAAATATAGGTTTTTATCCCTAATCTAAACTATCAATATTGCTACTAGAAAAAATCAATCATGAATCCAATCAAACTTGAAGCTTGCAAATCCAATCAAACTAATATTAGAAACCTTAAAAACAAAATAAGGAATAATTAATGTTTTTTTAGTTTATTTGTGTGTAGTGTGCATTGTGCACCGATAAGTAGAAACAGACAGGAAAAAAATCATCCATAGTAGTTAACAACAAAGAAGAGAGAACCATTCAAATTATTATAGTGAAATTTTTGCTAAAACCACCTCTTGTCAATTTATGTTAAGAGTTGTCTAGGATTTGTTGAGAGATCCATGACACAAGTGACATGTCTATAATTTTACAAATAAATTACTTTATACTTTAGATCATGATGTTTTTTGCGGGAGGTGAAAAAAATAAACAAAATAATTTACCTGGTAGAAATTGGAGAAATGTTGTTATTGTTGTATGGACTCTAGATCTTATAATAGTTGATAAAAAAAACATCATTAATAATAGAAAAATAATAATAAAAAAAGAGTTGTTGATGATAGTTGATTGTTGGCCGACTAAGAGAAAACATTAAGGATTTAGAAATTTAAAAATTTTAATTTTGTTATGCGTGTTTAAAAGTGAAACTAAACATAATAAAAAAGTGAAACTAAACACAATGAAAATAACATGATTTTGCTTTTATTCTATAATAGCGATAGACTAATAATTGTTGTACACTCATAATGAAAGGAAATAGTAATGACACTTTATGTTCTATGATGAAATTATTAAATTGATGATGAAATTATGTTTTTATGTGATTTCAATTAATTTTAAACAATTTTATCTGATTTTAATTTAATTTCATATATTTTTCAAGTTTTTGAATAATTTTACACATTAAATATATATTTACTTGTAAAATTAATTATAATTTTAAGATTTAAATTATAATTTTAACAACTTTAAGCTTAGCCACAAGTAAGAACTGATCAGAGGGGCCGTCCTTTCCTGCGAGAGGCTAAAAGTTGATGTAACGAGTCATCCACGAAGGGCTGTGCCAAAGTTTGTTGTTATGTTGAAGAACAAGACTGATGGAGACTACTCTGTCACGAGATTCTTTCCTTGTTGATCTCTCTGCTTTGGACGGGGAGAGACATCATGATTCCAAAGAAGAATTTTGTTGTTGGACTTGGAAAGAAGGCAACCTGCTGATTATTGCAGCTGATGAGTAGGGATGTATGTTCTTGTAAGGAATTCGATTGCGATTCGAACTGTGGTTTGTTTGATAAGAGATTATGCCCTGCTTTTCAAGCTCTCAACCACACCTCACTGCAATAACAATCACTTTCATCAAGGCTATGAAGAGACAACGTCGTCCATGTTTTGTTTGCTTCCTGAAAGCATGTCTTCAAGAGTTATGGAAAGAAAAGTAGGTTAGCAGACTTAAAGGATAGCTTGGAAATACGGCCAACTGTATCTCTAAAAAAATTATTTTTTTATATGTATTAGATTATTTTGATACGTGGATTTTAAATGTCTTAGATTATTTTGATACGTGGATTTTAACTATAATTTTAAAAAATTAAAAAATATTATTTTAATATATTTCAATATAAAAATATTTTAAAAATAATCCCTACCAACTCATAAATATACTCATAATAAATACGGCAAAAACAAGCCTAAATAAATCTTGTCTGCTTTTGGTTAATCAAATTCTTGTCTTTCATGACTGCAGGATACCGCTTCCCCATGATTTTATTTTATTTTTTTTGAAAAAAACAAAACAAAAGCGATTGCATTTGCGGGCTTTAGCTGTCTTTGATCTCTTTACATAGATTATTAGCCTGTTCATCCCCTCTCATGAGCTTAGCTCTAGGTTTTATCAGTATCCGTCTCTTTCTGGGCCAACTGACCTTGCTCTAGAAAATTGGGACGTTGGAGGATTTTTAGGGAAAAAAAAATTATTATTATTATTTTTTATTTAGGGTTCACAGAAATATGTGTAAATTTGAGGTAACAACGCTAATCATGAGACCTCAATCTCGTAATCGTAGACACCCTGAAAGAATTATCACCAGGCCACACCACAAGTACAAACTTTTAAAACTATTCAGCATTGTCATACATCAACTCCCTCTTTGGTCAACACGGTTACTCATTAAGGTAGCTATCCTTGAGAAAAGCCAATGCAATGCTTTATGGTTGCTTCTTCTTCTTTTTCTTCTTTTTTTATTATAACTATTATGAAAATAATTGTTTTTTATTTAAAAATATATTAAAACTATTACGATAATAATTGTTTTTTTATTTAAAAATATATTAAAATAATATATTTTTTTAGTTTTTAAAATTTATTTTTTTATTTCATTATATAAAAAAATCTAAAAATAAAATAAATATTAATTTTAAACAAGAA